CACTGCTAGCTAAAGGTGACAACGCTGATAATGTATAATTTTTTTTTTTTTTTTAAAGATTCGTTCATTTATGCATACAAGCTGGGGTACAGGCCAGAGGTGCAGGGGGCATGAGAGGATTCACCTCTGTCTCATTCAGAGACAGAGTGGGGAACAGAACAGGCAGACTGACCAAAACACACTGCTGAGGGGAGCAGCGGGCAAGACAGGAGACGTCTGCCTCACCATGTGGGAATCTCCCTGGCCAGCCAGGGATTGAACTCATGCCGCAGAGGCCTCGGATTGCTTCATAGTGCAGTGCTTAACCCCTTGCACCACCAGGGAGGCCCGATAATGTATAATGTTTTGACAATATCTAACATTTTCACAGACATCCTTAAATAAATTGAATGCTTAGATAGCTGAGTATCAGCACTAAAAGATGTCTTGGTTATTTAGTTATATGTCTTCCTTCTGTTAGAAAAAATCAGTTAAATAAATAAAGGGAAGTTAGTAGTTGCATTGTTAGGGTTAGTTGGGTTGGGGGAAACCTTTCTGCAATGTTCGGGGTTTGGGATAAGGTAGCTACAAAAAAAATTTAAATAACTCAGTTATAAATGCTTACTTTTCAGTAAAGTATGTTTGGCTCTCTATGAGTACAGGTAAAGTCCCAAGTGTCTACCTTTTAGCTATTTCTCTCAATCCATCACAGATCTATAAAATGGGGACAAAAATTATTCTGCCTTCATTGACATGAAGTACCAATGGGGTAGTGTGCGCATAGCTCTTGCTGATTCACACAACTACATGAAATTGGTGTACCATATTGTAAATTTGTATTAGTATAATTGGACCCCAATTGTACTACAATTGAATACAACATGAGAGGAAAATAATTAAATAAAAAAATCCTATTTGGCATGAAGAAATTACCAGCTAATGAATATGGCCCTCAGAGGGCCTGACTCCTTATTTATGAGCATGACTTGCCCTGAGACAGGGGTGCTCAGGCGCACCTTGTGAATTGCCCACAACGCTGCACAAGTGGTTTGTGGCTCCTGAGTACCTGGTCTATTGAGTGTACCCTGTGTATTTGCTTCTGTCCTTCTCAGAAAGGAGCATCAAATAAAATGTGTAGGCTCCACTCTCTGTATCTTATTATGTGGTATTCGGTTGTTCTCACCATAAGCATAGGGTATCTGGTTCCTCAAGGTGAGGCCTTCATTCTCCGTAGCAATCATGGAGGTTGGATGTAGGCACATGCCATTGTGGGAGTTGAAATGAGTTATAAATGTGGGCCTCCCTGGTGGCACAAGGGGTTAAGATGCAATCTATGAAGCTGTCCACAGCCTCTGAGCACGAGTTCGACCCCCAGGCAGGAAGCTACCCACATGGCTCAGCAGACATCTCCTTTTTTGCCCACTGGTCCCCTCAGCAGTGTATTTCGGTTGGTCTTCCTGTTCTGTTCCCCATTCTGTCTCCGGTGAATCCTCTCACCCCTCACCCCTGCGGCCTATACCCCAGTTCTTTTGTGCATAAATTAGTAAATCTTTAAAAAAAAAATGAGTTATAAATGTAAACTTTTTCCACAAGCAGTCACGGAGCTTCACAAGTAATGGGCAGGAATCAGCAGTATCCTATTGTTGGAGGATTCCCCATCAGAGACAAGAGAAAGTTTTAGGTACATAATTCAAAATTTCAAAGATGGAGGAGATTGGTAGAAACTATGTGTGAGTGTTTATGGGTTGAGGGAGAGGGAGAAGGAAAGAGTAAGAGTTTTCTCTGGTTTGAAAGAGACTGCTGTTTGTTTTCAAGTCCACAGAGGATTTTCTGCTCAGAACTCTTTCTGAATGCTGCTCTGCACATGCTTATGGAAGGTATAAGATTTTCTCCTTTTGATGTAGCTGCTTTGTAGAAAGTGGCGAAAGTTATTTGAATCTCATAGAAGCCTGCGTTATCAGATGATCGTTTTTAACCTTATTTTGTCGGTTTGCTGTCAAGTTTCTAGGCCATCTTCAAAAGACACCTCATTTTCATTTTCAATCAATTTCTCTCCAAGATTTTTCACATAGCTTCCTTCACACTACTAATTTCACTTTAGAACTGGCATCCTATCCCACATCCCTGGGCTTGCTGTGCTAACATGTTTAAACATGATTAGTCTTTATTAATGTAAAAAAGACAAAGCTCCAAGAATCACACACCTCTTAATTTGCTGTAGTTCCAAAGTGGGATCTCAGCCTTGGAAACTGAAAATGAATGGACTCCTCAAGATGCAGATGTACTGGGCATTTTCCTGCTAAGTGGAAAGTTTTGCTTTATAGTTGCAAACAGGATTTTCTTGAAGTGGTATTCCAGTTCAAATCCCTGCTATATCAAATGCCATGAAATATCCAAATAATCAAAAAACATTTCCTGGTCACAGATGATGATTAATTTACTTTCAACAGTATTTGTTACACATTTAGTCAGAAAAGGTGGGATTTTGACATCATTGTGGTGCTATTTCACCCCCATTATTGTCTTGAGAATAATACTCTTTCAATGTGGTACTTATTAATTCTATTATTCAAAGAATATGTGCCAAAAATTGTGGTAGGCACTCAAGAAAGTGTGGAGTTGCATCAAAATATCTATAAGGGAGTTAAATTTAAGGTAAATACTTCCATTGTTTGGTACTCATAAAAATTTGGTTTAAGATTTCAACATATGTATGTGTATATATGTATACACATATACACACAGATATCTACTATTTGTTATATGTTACTTATTTTAGAAAGATTTGCTATGGATTGCACATATGCATAAAGACCTTAAAATAAGGCTGAACTACTAAGAGCTATATAAAGGAATGGAGGGGATTATTGGGTCTGAAATCTGTACTCAGGTTAGTTTCTACAATTGCACATTAAATTTAGTTCCTGTGTGGGTCACAGAGGCCAGTAAAGAAATTCCATGAGTCATGTACTCTTCATTTTCTAATAAAAGGATATATGCCAGTTGGTAAGAAGAAAATGTTTCCAGAAATAAACTTTAACAGGAATCTAACCCTATATTGTTGTAATAAAAGAAAATATCTTTAATAGTGGTCTTTAGAGATGAAGAATGTATATTCATATGATCACTTCTTATACTGACCGTTGGTAAAAATCAGGAGAATAATACTATATAACAACTATATGAATTGGTTTCTACAGGGAATAAGACAACACAGTCATCAGGCTGCTGGAGCCTGGTGTTTTTTGTTTTTGTTTTTGTTTTTTTTTTGCAGCTAGAGACAGCTGAGTGTGTTGCTGAGGCTTCATGGCTGGTCAGGATCTGAAAATCTGCATTTCTCAGATAACTGGATCTGGAAAGCCAGACAATGTACACATCAGTGCTACCTTCCAAAGCCCACTAAAACTGAGTTGTTCCAGGCTATAGTTGGGTCCTTTACTTTTCCAACCACCCTCACCACTGCCTTGCCTGTTGCCTCAGCAGACTTAGCAGTTGTTTGGGCAGCCCATCTTCTTACCAGTCATGATTCTAATTCTAGACTTTTACCTGCTGCTGAGGCTCATGTTGGGGTATCACAGGTGACTTTGTATGCTAAAAAAGTAGAGAATTTAGGAGTAGTTAAAAAGTTTATCAATCAAGATGGCTTTTTTAATTCACAAATCAAGTCCTTCCTTCCCACTGAGCCTACTTAATACTTCATGGCTTTCTATCTCAGGGACACTTATTACATATTACACTTATTACATTTCTTTTCTACTGTACCATAAAGTCCATGAGAGCAACGTCTATGTCTGATTCGGTTTCTATGTTCCACAGCCTTTGCACAGTCCTTCATACTCATGAAATAGCTGTTGATTGAGTAAAATGAATATGAGACATTTAATCAAGTCCTTTGGATCTACATACATGGGTGTAGATGGGTGAGGTGTCTTGTAATATCTTTGTTGATTTTCATTACATTGAACCTGTAGTCTATCCTTTGTTATTTGCGATGACTTTTATATCTAATTATAAAGCTATAAAGAATTGACTCATGAAACCTGGGAAAAACAGGCATAAGCAGACTATAATCCATGAAGTCTTTTCTCTTTAAGATTGAGTGCAAGTAGAAATCTTGTACTGACTCAGAAGGCCACATTAAGAAACTTCTACTTCTTTTTTTTTAAATTTAAATTTTATTTTTATATTCCCCACACAATTGCAACCCCCTTATTTTGACCCCAATCCCTCCTTTCCCCGCCCCCCACCCCCCATAGAGTGTCTCTGGTTCATACAAAAAATAATAAAGTTTCAATCTTGTTCAAAAAAAAAAAAAAGAAACTTCACGGCTGGGCCTTCCCTGATGACGCAGTGGTTGAACGCTGGTCTGTAAAGCTGCCCACGGCCTCCTCAGCGTTGGTTCAATCCCCAGCCACTAGCAAGGGTCCCACCTGGTGTGGCAGACCTCTCGTTTCACCCGCTGCTCCCCTCAGCAGTGTATTTCATCAGTCTGCCTGTTCTGTTCTCCGCTTTTGCTCTGGTGAATTCTCTCACCCTCCCGCGCTTCTGACTCTACCCAGTGCTTGTATAAATAAATAAATAAATCTAAAAAAAAAAAAAAAAAACAGAAACTTGATGGCATATTTCTTCTAACTTGATTCTAAATAGGTGATTCACCATGTGATGTATTGTTTAAATTAGGACACTCCTGAGAGTGACAAAGAACACTTTTAATAATTATGTCAGGATTACAAGCTTTAGTCAAGAATGTTCTAGGGCAAATGGGATGTATGGTAATCCAGTTAAAAATCTATTTTTATTTTATGAGTCATTAGTTGCTAGTATGACAATCTGCCTCCCATCTTCTTCACTGGACATGAAAGGGGCAAAAGATTACATTTTGGACATATTGCATTTTCCTATTTTACGTGCAATTGATTGATATCTTTCCCATACTTATCATGTCACCCCAAAGCATAATGTCAATTCCTGGGCATAAAATAGAATGAAAGAAATATGGCATTTTTTTTTTTTCATTCTAGAGTATAGAAGATAAAAACTGACAAAGAATACCAGCAAGTCAAGGAGTTGGTGAGATTTTAAGAGAAGAAAATTCCTTCCCAGTAGATGACACTATAAGTAGTAAACTTCAAAATTTGGTAAGATTGTAATGGAGAGGAAGGAATCCTATTTAGTGGAATACTTATCTATCAACACTTTTTCCTTCATTAGAAGAGAGTTTAGAGGAACATGGTAGTAGGCAGAATGATGTGAAGTGAAGCACAGGAGGGTCAGTTCTGGCAGTTTAGTCATTAGACATTTGCTTGCATTATGAAGTGTCTGAATTTATCACAGTAATATTCTTGTTTGTTTTCTGTAGACCTTGCAGGTCTCATTATATCTATGCTGAGGCCTTGTCATCACTGCTGATGATCAGAATTCTCTTTGTTGTTCTTATGTGTCTCAGTGACATTCAATAATTGAGGACAGAGCATAACACTAAGTACTAAGAGTTAAGTAAGTGAGAACACCTCATTGTAGAGGGGTGTAGGTGAGATCCCTCACCTACTAAGGGACCAAAAGTTTGTCAGAAGTATCAGCACATTTACTTGGAACATTAAAAGTAGTGGAAATAAAAGGGACCTTTCTGCCTTCATAAATTACACAAGAGTATCCAATCTGCTCATTTTCACCTTGCAATTTGGAATGGAAAATTCTCTTGTGCATAAAGTGCCTTTCCTGAATCTAACACAATTAATCCAGAAGAGAAGTGGGAATGAGTAGCAGGTTTTTTTTTTCTTCAAATTTTGTTGTTAATTAAAAAAACAATTATCAAGGATTTCTAATTACTTTATAAGTGCTGTATGGCCTGTACCTGCTCCTCAGCAAATTAGTAAGATAATGTTGGAAACATCTTATTAAACAGAATTACTCTTTCTCCTCCTCCAGATTCACACATCTACTTAATAGACCTCTTCTTGTGCAACACCTTTGTGAAACATTTATATCCATTAAGTTATCTCACAGTTATTAGCATTGTGCTTTGGTTTCTAAATGTGTTTTACCCAGGTCCTAATACATTGACAGACTACTAGAAGAGGTAGTTGAGATGGACATCAACTCTTCAGAAAATCTTTAAAGATACTCCCTTAGAGCAAGTGAGTGTTTTGGAAACAATAAAATTTATCTGGTGTGGGATAGAGAAATTCATTGAAAAAAATAGTACTAAGGAAGAATGAAGTCAAGTAGTATAAAGAGCATCCCTGGGACAGAATGGGGATGTCTGTAGTCAGCTAACAAATGAATGACCAAAACCAAAATGTGGCCCATTAGATAGTGTTGACAAAGGGAGTAATGCACAGAAAGGGTGACTGTATTCTAGACATCAGATTTCTGTGAAAGATATTACTTAAAGACCTTGACAGATGGGGATACTTCAGAATTTCATAGAACATGTCAAAACTTGTACACCATATTTTTTTACAATTTATTTTTATATTAATATCTTTAACATCATCGTGCAGTCCCCGTAAAATTCCCATCATCAGTTCACCCGTGAACCATTACCATAGTCCCTGGTGCTCTTCTCTCCCCTATTTTGACCCCTTTTCCTCCCTCTTCCTCACAGAATATCTTTTATTTATGGTTGCTTGATAGTTTTGTTTTATTATTATTATTATTGTTGTTTTTTTTTTCCTGATCCCTTATTTGGTTGGTACTTATTTGGTTCCCCTATATTCTTCCTACAAGTGAAATCGTTTGATATTTTTCCTTCTCCTTCTGGCTTATTTCACTGAGCATGATCCCTTCTAGCTCCATCCATGTTGCTGTGAATGGCATGAATTTATCTTTTTTGATTGCTGTATAGTATTCCATTGTATGCATTCACCACATCTTGATACTGTTATCTATTTTTGTATTCCATATTTTTTGAATTTGAGTGGAACTAAGGTGAAAATATGGAAACAGGTTAATGAAATATAGGAAATCTCATAGCATCTAAGAGTTATTATTTCATAGCTTTAAGTAACTCTTTGAGAAAACCATTGTACAATGAGTCCATCCTTGAACTGTATGATATTGAAACTTGAATATGTAAGACATAATGAAGAGATTTTTCAATTTTCTAAATTTGATGTGATTTCATTTAATTTAAACATATATTTTTGTTTCATAAAGCAGTTCAAATGAGAGCTATTATTTAATGGTGCTAGTACTTCATTGTAATTTTACTTTGTTAGACTCTGATTCTGAAAGCTGTATAAAGAACACAATTTTTTTTTCAAATTGTATGAGTTTTCCTAGTTTGTCTAGCAACACAGAATATATGCAGGGGATCTGGAATCAAGCCTAAAATTTCTTCTCCTCTTGACTACATATGCCTCAACCAGCGTATCATAACCTGGGTATCTAACAGATACCATAAATCTGCAAATACTTTGAGGTCACTTATGCCAAGCCATTGTTTACCAGAATGAGTCTCATTTTGGTACATGTTGCTTATGAAATATTTGTAGAGTATTAGGGAAGCTATGGGGAAATCCTTTTATTTGTAAAAATTAAAAAAATAACATGGATAAAAGTTTACTAGCAGGGAATTTCAAGGGAACACTGAGGCACCACTTGAATTTCAAGTTAGTTTCAGAGAAATTTCTCAGAGGTAGAGGGAAAAACACAAATTGCAAAATAAGCACAATGACTAAAAGTTAAAGGATTTGGGAAGTGAGAGTTGAAAAGTAGTTTAGAAATGACTTTCAAGAAGACTAAAGATGAATAACTTGGGGGAGGCCTCACAAGACTCTTTGGTTCTATTTAATTGCCTGAGTGATCGGGTGGACATAGGTGCTTTATGATGAATTTCTTTGTAAGAATAGTTTGGGAGAGGGGGTCGCTCCCCATTTTGGAGAGTGCACAGCTGGGAGCAAGACAGCAATGGCAGATCAGGATAGAGAACAAGACAGGCAGCTAATGTACCTGGACTGGGGGAGGAGCACAAGCACTATGGATGGGGAGGACTGATAGAGTGAACACTTGAGTGGCCCAGAAATGCTTACAGTGTACTCTGCAGGTTTCTGGTGAGAAAGGAAGCTCATGTAACAGTAATTAGCTGCATATATCAGCAGATTCCAAAATTCTCTGGGGATGAAAACAAAAGAAATCTCTGCCACTGTGAAAAGAAATGTTTCTTTCTCCATTGTCTCCTAACCATGACTCTTGGGCAGCATGGGGTTAGGTATGAGCAAGGTTATAGAAATAGATGAAAAATGGAAAAAGAGGGAGAATGAGACACTTAACTTATTATAGTTTAATAAGGGCCAAACTTGTTCTCTATCCTGAGAATCTAGGGCCAACAAACTCATGTAGATTATCTGCAAAGTACTCTCTCTCCAACCCCTTGTTATAGTTCCCTAAAGATTTCCTCCAGAAAGCCTACAATCTAAAAAATGTTTCCCATTAACCTGTGCACATATTCTTATTTCACATATCTATGTTTACTAGGCTATCCTTCCCTATCAGATTGGGCCTCCCTATTTTATTCTTTGGATCTTTATTTATTGTTTCAAATTATTCTGGACACAATAAAATCTTAATAAATATATTTATTTAATAGATTAATAAGAAATTTTCTTTCTCAATATATCACATTTAAAAACAAGTGATTTTTGTACAAATGAAATGTTTATTGCTAAAAGTTTTGTAGTTTTATAAAATATTGTCCCCTGAATGAAATATAGTTTGCTGTTGTAGTTTTTTTGTTGCATCAGGAAAAAATATTTTAAAGTATTTTCCTTCCAGTCAAGTAATATATTTCATTAACATAAAAATGCACTGTGAAAAATTAGTGACTTGACTATAACACAAAGATTTTTTATAGAAGACTTGTTCCTTTTTAAAAATTTGTATTTTTTAAATTGAGAGATCCACTGAATGTGTGCTCCAGTAATGTATATAGTGAATAAATTCAAATTTAATTTTGTCCCAATAAATGGATTTTCTTCAAAATGTAATTTTCTCTTATGGGATAGGGATAATACTCCATCTTCCACTGACCTCTTGTTTATTGTGACCTTCAAATAATGGATTAAACTCTGTTGCATTGTCAAACCCTACACAAATATTAGAATACAAGGATTCTTCATTCGCTTATTCATTTAAGGTATTTTCAAGTCCTTGTGTGTAAAATGCATGGGGACAATGCATATATATCAAGGATATATAAAAACCTCATTTGCTCTACTTCTCAAATAAGTGTTTTTTGACTTCGTAACATCCCAAATCGTTAGCCCAGGTACACAAGTTTACAGATTAAGTAATCACCTAAGTAAGGGGCAGTAAAGTCCAAAGCTACAGAGAAAAGATAAGACTGATTTCATGACATACATTTCTTGAAAAAGGAAGAGTTCAGGAAGTTTGGAAAACTCTTAGCAATGGTATTGAGCTATAAAGCTGCAGATAATGCTAAGAAGGAAGAAAAGGTGGTTGTCTCAAAGAAAATTATCTCTCAATATTTGATGGTTCATATTCTGCAAGAAACATTAGATTCATTCTGTGCAGTTGGCTCTAAGGGCAGAATAGGACCAATAAAGGAAAATTACAAGAAAAGATTTCAGAACATTACAAGGGAGAAATTTCTGTAGGCTAAGCTATCCAAAACTAGAATGGTTTGCCTGAGGGGTGATGAGTTTCCTGTCACTAGGAGAGTTCAAGTACAAAATGCACTACCTCTTGCTTGAAATTGAGGCATTTAAGGTATTTTCTGATGCTGATATTCTAATTCAGAGATTCTACTTCTGTAGGTGATCTCATTAAGCTGTGAGAATCCCACCTCTTCTTCTCCCGTCTTCCCAAAAGGCAGGAGTAAAGTGAAGAAGAAGTTTCCCTTAATATTAATTCTGTTATTAAACATGGAAAGATTGCCCTTTAAGATGAGGTTTCTATTTTAGGATAAACCAGGGGCCACAGATTTATGTTTTTACTTATCTTTCCTTTTATTTTCAATGGAAGCATAAGTGTTTAATATGGTCCTCATATCATACCATTTCATTTTCCAAATGTGAGTATGCGGGGATGGAGTGAGTCTGTGTTGCCTTGATAGGCAATCAGTTTTCCTCCTCTGTTCTCAAT